GGGAAGTGACAGCTGATGCCTGGGGATAAGCGTAGGCTTGCATACCTGCGTAGGGCTGAGAAAATGCCAAGGTACAGCTGGTTTATAAAACATTTATATAGCTCTTTACTGCTTAATTTGTCTTTGATGGAATAAAGTGGGTAAGCTGGAAGGAGACTCAAACTGAAGGAAGCTGGGGGTGAATGAGTCCTGTGTTTGGTATTAGGTAAGAATCTTAGCAGGAGAGTTATGTATGTAATCCAGTGGTACCCAACCCAGTGACTGAAGTCCAACCCAGGGAGTGTGGAAAGTGTGCCTCAGGTCACTCCCCAGTCCTCTTGGATATAATTCAATTAAGTGGGAATTCGTCCCCCTACCACTGGGCCTATTGATGGTCTAAGAAATTTTAAAACTAAGCAAATTCTGCTTGGTTTCGCTGAGGTAAAAGAAGAGGTGTTCATTGCGATTCCGAACTAAATCCGTCAGTTTCCACAGGATGCCTCTCCCTTGCTGGATTCTGATGCTTACCTGTGTGACCAAGAGTTCTCATTTTCCTGAGCCTCAGTCACTTTGACTATAAAATGAAAATAATAATACCACTTCTTAGGGTTGTTGTGAGGAATAAATGAAGCGATATAAATGAAGCGATATGGTAAGTTAAGTGCCTGGCAGATAGTAAGTGCTCAATAAACAGCAGCTATCATTTTAATGATGATGGTTATTCTTCCTTGAATTAAGGAAATCCAGCTCATTTCCAGAGACAGATATAATTACCTATCCATTACTGAAAAATGAATCTTAGTCTACAGTAACTCTCCATTAGGTGCATTCCAGAGCGAAAAGAGGGCAAAGCAGGACTCTTCTCAATTCTGATACACACCTCCCTAATGGGGTATAACTTGGCCACCATTACTCTGACCCCTCCATTAAGAATCAAGGAAGTGAGGGCCTGTTATCATTGGGAATCATGTCTTATCCAACAAATGTGTCAGGGCAAAAGAAAGAGTCCACTGTTCTGGCAAATAGTCAGCAGAGGCAGACAGGCTGTTGCCATAGTTTTCTGTGAAAACAGAAAATAAAAATCTGCTTTTTTTAAATTATGATTTGTACAGGACAGTTCTTTTTTTGAGGGGGGTAATTAGGTTTATTTATTTGTTGTTGTTATTATTTTTTAATGGAGGTACTAGGGATTGAACCCAGGACCTCATGCATGCTAAGCACGTACTCTACCACTAAGCTATACCCGCCCCTCAAAAACCTACTTTTGAGGGATCACTTTTGAAGGCTAACTAGACAACAGAGTTCAGCTATATTTCCATACACCTTCCACCCACTGCCGCTCCACAACTCTTCTGCTGAGTGTAGTGCAGAATCTTAGCCTATTAACTGTTTGACAGAAGAGAACACAGAAGACTTGAACATATACCCCTTAACTAGCCAAGTGTGAGAAGGAAACAAACACTGACTGGGCCTTTACTACGTGTCGGGCCCCGTACCAGATGCTTTGCTTGTTCTTGCATTTAACCTTTACAACAACCTGTAAGGTAGGTTATCCTTTGCCTGTTTAGAAATGAGAACGTGGTGGTTCAGAAATGGGAAAAACTGTAATCTCTGATTGTGGGGAACTGCTACTGTATGAACTGTGCAAGAAGAAAGGAGACTGACGAGGCCCATGATAAATTATAGGTTATAACTGATATGGTTTAAAAGTGTTACCTGAAAGGACTGGGCATTTCCAGACACAGCTGAGTGGGAATCAAGAGATGCAACTTGCATTAAGGCAGGAGACGGTGCTTGGAGTCCAGAAACGGATGGCTGAGGTGCTAAGATAAAGCAAGAAATTTTCACTGTTATCCAGCCCTTGTTTCTTGGTACAAGTCTGGACTATCTCCTTATATATCATCACCCTTCAGACTTGACCACTTTTCTCACCTAATTGCCTAGAACCAACTCTCCTGGAGTCTCAGCAATGGGCTAGTAGAAGGAAACTAGGTGTTCTCAGGTGCACGTGACTCAGACCTACGATCCCATCAACTGACAGGACGTGTAGAATTACACACAGGGAGATGTCTCATCAGCTGAGTGACAGTGCACCACGGCAGTAGATACAGCAATCAGACCAAATACATCTCTAGGTCTGAAAATGCCCTAACCAGGAACAAACTGACAAGTTTATACTCCAGTCCAGTACTAATACTAAAACAAGGCAGTCTAACAATTTCAGGAACAGTGATGACAACATTAGTGCTGACCCAATTCAAAGCCACAGAGCCTCAGAGAGGTTCCTTACCTTGTGAGGTCACCTGTGGTAGCACTGGATGGGCTGGCTGAAGAGAGGGCTGGATGGACGAAGTCACCGTGGGCTGCCTGGCTCCTCGAAGAACATTCACATCCTGAAACAGGCACAGACATTTGGGTTATTATGTCTACGGGTCCTTAACTGAAGACTGAGGCTGACTGTCCACCCTAAACCTGCTTACGACCAGTGTTCTCAGGCAAAGAAGAGGAAGGGAAAGTAAGCAGAAAGGCAAGAGCTGAAGGCACCGGCTACAGAGAGAAAGCACTCTATTAAGTACCAGAGGAAAACCCCTTTTCCCTGTACATTACATCAAATAATTAAATACAGTTAATTTCCTCAAACAGTATAAGCTGTTGATGTTATTTTGTTTGAAGCAGCTAAAGTGACTGCTCCCCACGATGTACCATTTTCCAAACCAGCAGCTAGCTACCTTAAGACTGACCTGGTCTGTTTCTATAGAATCAGGGCATCTTACAAGGAAACCCAGGGAACAATGTAGCCTCTTATCTTCTGCCAAATAATCTTCACAGACCTCAAGGTACTCCCAGAAAATCAGACAGCGTAGATTCACTGCACCTCATTACCCTGCTGTTTTTGACAGTACAGAGTGTTTCCCCTCTCCATTCTTTCTTCTCATAAAAGCAAAGCAATGTTGGTCCCTACTGTAATTCTAATCAAAGTCAACGTACAAATATCTTCCTGATTCATACAAGGAAAAGAAAAACTTGAGTCATGATATACAGTGACTGTGATCTGCCATGCTACAGTTCAAGGGTTAAAATCTCTCTGACATTCTTTTGCTTTAAAACTTTCTCTTATTTTCCGATATTCTCAGAAGTGTATTATGCGTTTCTGGAAAAGTACCCAGTTTCACATCATACATAAATCAACCTAAACATCTAACAACAGAGTGAAAGGAATTATGATAAATAAGTGTAACAGAGCACTGGGTTACCTTTAAAGGTGATAAAGCTTTGCTTTATTTGTTTACGTTATTTATATTATTGATATTAACATAAATGTTCACGATACAACATTAAGTTAAAAAATTAGATTACAAAGCAATATATAAAGAACGCCCTTTTTGTTAAATGTTTCTTTATAATTTAACTTATTCTACAATGAATAAGCAGTACTTAAAAATTTTATTAAGAATATTATCTTATCCAAATTTCATTTCCAGAAACCAGATAAAAATCAATCCTAGAACAATAGGCCCCAGAAATCCTATCTGCCTTTAAAATATTACATCTACACAGGGCTTTTCCATGAGGAAATAAAACAAAATTGTGAAAAATAAAACTTATTTTGGAAATGTTTTTTCTCAAGAGCATCACCTTTGCTCTGTTTTATATTAAAGTCAAAGAATCTTAAAGATTAATCACGCGGGGGAGGGTATAGCTCAAATGGTAGAGCGCCTGCTTAGCTTGCACTAGGTCCTGGGTTCAATCCCCAGTACCTCCACCGAAAAAGTAAAAAAATAAATAAACCTAATTACCTCCCCCCTGCAAAAAAATAAATAAATAAAAAATAAAAAAATTAATCACTGTTAAGTGTTTCAATTCAGCTGAGAAATAATTATATTAGTCAATAAGGAGCTAACCAATGGGAAAAGAACTTAGTTGGAATTAAGCTACTTCTTATTATACATCAAATTCCAAACGGATTAAATATGAAATAATAGATCAAAATATAAAATAACAATAAATATTTTAAAAAGATATATATGATGTTTACAGCATGTGGAATTGGAAGGCTTTCTAAGCACAATGTCAAAAGAAAAACACAAAAGGAAAAATTGATAGATCTGACTGCAATAAAATTCATGAACTTCAAAAAAATCATACAATGTACAAAGCCAAAAGATACAGGAGTGTAATCTTAATATTAGGTCACATCAGTGGAAAAACCAACATTTTCCAAGAGAATCTAAACATTCAATCAACACATGTGACCTGAACATTCTTTTATAGGTCAGGCATCATGCTGCATACACAGTAATTTTTACTGAAAATACAGATTCCAGCAGAAAGCTAAATTAACTACTTAAAACTGCCCAGTTCTTGTGGCAGATGTACAGAATTGCTTCCATTTCCCAGGGGAAGTGCTAGTTATGGGAGAAACACATGTACCAATACCAACCTGAATCATTTTGAATATAAGCTCTCTAAGTAGTGATTCTGTGTTAGAGGCAGAAGCAGCAATAATTTCGATTAAAAGAACAGAAAACAGCAATGTGTGCACTATTCACTCTAGACAGCAAGTGGGACATACTTCAATTTCTGAATCGTTGGAATCCAGCTGTGGTGGAAGGATGGGCAGCATGGGCTGGCCCATTTTAGCCATCCGAGAGATCAACTTGGCCTTGACTGTATCAGGACTCTAAAAAGAGAGGAAAGCCGCAAAAATCACTGTAATCAAGGTTCATTACCTTCAGTCAACTCTATGTCTTTGGCTCTTATATCAAATCCTTCAATATCTATTTGAAATCAATGCTTCTAGAAAATGAGAATTAAAGATTAACTGCCTAAGAAGCATACATGGGTCACAGTTAATAACTGTAGTAAAAATAATTCCCTATATGTTGGAATGGACAAAGTGGCTTTATTTGTATTACTTCACTGCAATCAAGTCTTCCTACTAGGCATATGTATTTTCATTTTACAGAAGAAAAACTAAAGTACAGATTAAGGGAGGAAGACATTTTAGATGACAGTACCCTCTCAAAAGCCCAGGAGCAATTCAGGAGATAAATATTCAGAAGAGATTTAGGGAGAGAAGAAAATAGGAGCTCTGTGTTCTAAATCCAGGTTCATTTAACTGTGACTTGGCATTGATGATACACTAGCCTCTGTGCTAGAAGCCTCTGCATCCATTAAGTGATTCAAAGTGCAGCCTTCAGAGTGGAGAGTACATGTCCTAAGGGTGCACAAGATCATCTATCGAGTGTGAAAAGAAATGATCATAACCTATATTTTAAAATTATGTTTAAGCTATAGTAAACATAAGACATGAAGTTTGTTTACAGGCATGGACAGTATATGTATATATGTATGCATATAATTTGTAAATAGACATATATTATGTGTGCTCATTTTTTCTTAATTAATAGACACATATAATCAAAAAAAGCTGGGTCCATCAAAAGAGGACTAGTTATATAAACCAATATCCATTTGCTTGCCCGGTTCTTGTATAAAGAACCATTGAAAGAGTATGTAAGAAACTAACAAAAGCAGTTACCTAAGTTGGGGGAGTGAAATGAACAGGGTATGCAGGGGCAGGGCTAGGAATGAATCTTCCCAATGTGTATCTTGTTATATTGTTTTGCTAACTGTACCACAAGAATGTAATTATGTATTCAAAATGAAAAATTAAAACTTACATGTAAAAAGAACAAAAAGATGGTTCATTTTATGTGATGTGAAATTTATTTCAATTAAAAAAACAAAGATGAAAGAAAGAAAACATTGGGGACCACTAGCCTACCAGGAGTTACTGTAGCTAAGAAACAGGTAACAAAAGCAGCTGTGTCTAGAGAGTACAACAGAGCCAATACTGAACAAACTTTGTGGCTATTCAAAGATCTGAGATCATAAATGTTTTTCAATTGTGATTCTTTGGCTTAACCTTCTGGGTTTAGATCACCTTTTATACATATCAGGTCAATTATTTGTTTAATTAATTTCTGCTTTAGACTGAATATAAACAAGTAAACTAGGGTTGGAGAGAAATGGATCATCAATTTCATTCCAGGCAATTATCCTGTTTCCCAGGTGGAGAAGGTGTGGTAGGTGAAGGCCACAGGGCTTGAGAACTTGAAGTGCGTCACTGTCATCTCACCCACACATAGCAAACTCAGATGCCTTCATAGACCAGGCAGGGCAGCAGCAAACTACAGTGTACGTCCTCCTAAAGGCCTTTAAATCCAAATTTTACAACAGAATGCTAGTCTTCTCACCCTAAAGTTGGGGAAACACAGAAGCCCAGCAACCTGCTCAAAGTCAACTAGCCAGGGAATTAGTGTAGAACATCTCTGAGCAAATGAAAGTATGAAGATACGTAGTGTTAGCAGCAATTAGGAGAACAAGAGCTAATGTTAATGACCTCTTACAACATGCCAGACACAGTACTAAAAATTCAGTAGGCATTATTCACTTAAACCTCATAAAAATCAGAGAGGTTACTGAAGACATGCTCTATGTAGGCTCTGAGCTTCACAAACACATCACAAGAACCCTATAGAGGGGCTGCGAGAATTATTCCCATTTTAATAATGAAGAAGCTGAGGATCAGGGAAGTTAGGTAATTTTCTCAAGGCCACATGCTTATAAGAATAGATTTGAACCCAGGTCTGTCTATGCAGAAGCCCAGGCTAATTTATACTGACTCCCAAGTAAAGAAAAGTGAATAAAGTAACCACTGACTTCTAGCCTAAATCAACAGTTCTCAACACTTTTTTTTCTCTCTAACCTACCATACCCTAGGCACATGAAACCTTCCCAGAAAACTGGGGATAAGGAGACAGGCTTGTATACTCACTGTATTTATTGTAAGCTGATCACTGAGCGAGTTAGATTTGGAACGAAGAGCTGACTCCCTGAAAGTAAATGAGACATATTCTGAGATTAAAAACAAAATCCATAATCACAAATCTAGATTATGCTGGATAAACAAATTGTTTTTAAAAATGCTTGACAATTTAATGGCTGTAGACAGAATTTTAACTCTTCTTTAATTTGCACAATCTCTAAAAGCTAGTGAAAATGAAAAGTTTCCATTCAAATGCTTATTTATATTTTTCCCCTTGAGTACATATTTTGTTATTTATGCCTTTTGCGTGATTTTCTTCCAAAGTTCAACAGGGATTCTTTTATATCTGAGTTTGCTTTTTATAGACTTTGACTATTAATCCTTCCTCAGAAAAATCTGGTGCAATTATTTTCCTTCATCCTATTTTTCCCAATTATTTAAAATTATTTCAGTTTTTAACTGTATCTCTATTTCTGAACCCCTCTAAGAATTATTTTTATGGACAATAAAAGAGCTCGATACACTCTGGTATCTTACCCTGGTTTGAAAGGCACCGATGTGGATGGTGACACAACAGGATCAGCAGACAGGCTGTCAGCACCAGGTATGGGAGAAGGGGCTGCAGAATCCCGGGAACTAACACTGTGTGCGTCAGAGCCAGAATCTCTAGCAAATTTGACCTAGGGACAGAACAGATCAACCACAGGTGGAACAGGCTAACAGACCATAAAAAAGGCACCCTTCCTCCTCCATCCTCCTTTCATTTTACTTATTCTTCTTCATACAAGTCATTACCTGTTCACTGTAGCCAAATCAGAAAATGTAGCTAAGCAAAAAAAAAAAAGATAACAACCATCGGCAATTCAACTACTGAGCAATAACATTGTTAGAATTTTGGATTAGTATTTCATAATTATATTAACTGAGTGTGTGTGTGTGTGTGTGTGTGTGTCTTACAAAAATGGGGCCATATTGTTTTGTACCCTGCTTTGCTCACTCACTGATACATTAACATAGTTCCATGTTACTGAATTACTAATCAACAAAAATAATTTTTAACTACTGAAGACTGTCTAATTTCAAGGGTCATGCCTTAACTACTATCATCTACAAGAAGTCTCCAAAGGATTTTGGGAACAGAAGTCACAAAAATCTAGGCTATTACAAAATACATTTCACCAACTCCTAGTTGTTGGAGATTCAGTTTGTTTCTAATTTTTCCTATTACAAACAATACTTCCATGAGTAGCTTTATCTCTGTATCTTTGCACATAATAATTTCCAAAATATAAATTCCCAGAAGTTAAATTGTTGGATAAAAGGTATACTTATCTTTTAAACTTTTGCTGCATACCATTAAATTTCACACCAGAAAGGGTGAATTTATACTTTATACTCCACAAGCAGTATATAAATCTTTCTTAACACTCTTGTCATCCTGGGTATTACCATTCTGTATCAGCCTTGTCAATTTAATAAGCAAATCAATTCATAATTCTTTGACTATTGGTAAAAGAGAGTATTTTTTCCCTTATGTTTACAAAGTGCCAGTCTTGATGGATTCAAGTTGGTTTGTTATCTATCACCAGCCATGATTTCCTCAAACTCAAAGGAAAACTGAGAAACAATATAAAAGCTGTGAAAAAGGAAGCTGGAAGCATGTCGGTCAAAGAAGGCTGGAATGCCCAGCAGAGATAAGGGTCTCCTACTAGGAAAGAGTCCTTGAGAAAAAAATGCATATCCTTTGTTGCAAGCAGGAATAATAACCACAATGAAGATGACCGTAATATTTATTCGTATTGTATTCTATAGTTTATAGTGGCAAAACTATCATATTTGGGCCTAACAATCACAATGTAAAGCAAACAGTCTTTTTTTGGAGGTGGGGGAAGTGGAGCTTGGAGGGAGAGCATTAATTAACCACGACTGGTTGCAAATTTGATTATAGAAATTATTCACGATGAAAGTTTAAAATGGTACAGGAGGGTAGAATGTAAAAAGAAAAAGTTTCTGAACTTCGTTTCCATTCTCCAGAGAAAATCACTTCTAATCACTTCTTTTAATGCCTCTGGAAATTTAATACGAATCTATGGGCACATATATGTATTTATTTGTATATACACATACATATAATATCATACTATCTACACTGTTTTGCAACTTGTTTCTTTCGCTTAAGAACAGATTTGGGGTATTCTTTAAGAACTACATTTAAAAAATTTTTTTAATTTAAAAAATAAAAATAAAAAAGTTGGGGAGGGCATAGCTCAGTATAGAGCACATGCTTAGCATGCATGAGGTCCTGGGTTCAATTTGCAGTAACTTCATTAACCAAAAATAAATAAATAAAATAAAATAAGAAAAAAGAATTACACAGACGTCCACTCTATGAAAATCATAATTTAACCAGTCTCATAATAATGGACACTTAACTGTTTCCAGTTTTTACTATTATAAACCACATGGCAGAGGGAGGAAACTATATACCTATCTTTATTTATCTATACACAGGTATCTCTGCATTCTTATGTAAACATATTGATAGGATAAATTTACAGCCATGGAATTACTAAATCAAAAGGTATGTACTATTGGGTAGGAATCATTATTTTAAAGATAAAATAAAAAGGTTAGTGTAGAGAAGTTACTATGAATACAGAGCCGAGAAGGACATAAACCTTGGCCTTTAGATTCCAAAAATGTTGTTCTTTCCAAATGTACCATTTCTACTTAAAAAAAAAACGGGGGGTATCTTCAGAAGGCATTTTTCAAATATACTTATTTATTCATTTTACTTAACTAGCAAAGAGGACTCATCAAGCACAACACAACATAATTTCACTCACCCGCCTAATCTCCACCTCAAATACCAGGATTGAGTCCGTTGATTGAGTCCATCCTATTACTCCTTCAGAGCCAACAGCACAGGCTGGAGGGATGATAAGCAATCGCTTACCTCCTTTCTTCATGCCTACCATTCCATCCTCCCAGCCCTTTAGGAATCAGAGAAGAGGAAAAGCTCATCAGATACAAACCTCCTCATAAGACAAAATAAAGTACAGGATCATCAGGTTTATATCTCTCCCTCTCCCTTAACTGGTTATAAGAACATCCAAATCACTGCTTCTCAATTCACTTGTAAAAGCCAGCCTACCCAGGGCTATATGAAATACGATGAGAGAAATTGGGAGAAACAGAAGAATAGCGTTGAAAGAGAAATAAAAGCTTTCCTTTATTAAACATGTTTTCCAAATACCATGGTAAGTGCTTTATTTGCATTATGTTGTTTAATCCCCTAAATAATTTCATAAGGTTAGTAGCAATATCCTCACTTTTACAGATGAGAAAACGGAAGCTTACGGAAGTTAAGTAACTAGCCCAAGATCAGAAAGTAAGTGAATTGCTAAGCCAAGGTTACACTAGATCTGTCTGGCTTTAAGGGTCACATCCTAACTGCTATGATCTACAGGAAAAAGTCTCCAAAGGATTCTGGGAAAAGGAGTCATAAACAAGCTATGGAGAAAACCATTCTGCCACATGGATGAAATGAGGACTTCACAATACATCGTATGTCCTGACACCATGATACCTACATGTGTAAAATACTCTTTATTTTATAAAACACTTGCACAGTTGGTAAAAACCCCAGGTCCTTGGACTCCAATCCCGGTGTTCCTCCTGCTATGTCGTAGTTGCTTCCCACAATGATTTAAAGCATTCCACACAGATTAGAATCACCCATTATGATACACTTTTAGAAGAAACAGTTTCACCTCTTTTCCTATTAGGTGACATGAAGGATATAATAGTTTCCTCAGAGTCACAGGATGAAAAAGAAAAGGTAGGAACTAAAGAAAAGAAATATACCCTTCCTCAATATATTGTCTCATAGGTAAAAATCTCCCAAATGCAGATAACGTAACACACTCTTCCTATTTTTTAACCAAGCCTTTCCAAAGTCTCAGAAAATACTATCCAGGTTAGAAATTTCACAAAAGCCAGTCTAAATCAAACCCACTGCAACTGATAAACCCATATAAGAACACAGTTAAGCCTTTACCTTGATGACTTTTCCTGATCCTAATTTCAGACGAAGCAGCTTATCTTTGTTAGCAGTGGAGTCAAAAACCTGCAAGTTGATCAAAACAAACAAGGTCAGCCAATTTCAAAAATAATTAATAATCATTATGACACTGAACTTCATATATACCAGTATAGTACTTCTGAAATAGGCAATGTCAAATACACTGGGAAAATACTTCTTAAAAAACCTGAAAAGAAGGAACCACATCATGGCTAAAGGGTTAACACCCTTTAGTGTTAATCACACTGAGTATCTTGGAGGCAAGGATATTCCAGGTTTGGGGGAAAATAAGCTTCTATCACCAAGTATTTAAAACAAAATTTCATCTGTAAGTAACTTTCATAAATTATCTCATTTTATGCTGACAGCAATCCTGCCAAGAAAGCAGGGTAAGCACCACTAAGCTCCATTCACAGATGGGGAAAAAAATTTAACTGCTTAAATGATTCGACAAGGTCAAGTTGGGATGCAACTGGGACTTGAATCCATGTGTTTTTTTGACTCGCAGTCTAAAGCTCTTTCTATCATACATACTACTTCTGAGGGCTTAATAAAATAAAAACACAACAAAGCAAATTTATTCACAGAATCTAGTATAAGAAAAACAGAGAAAGAACTGTGAGGAAAGTCTAAAAAGAAGTTTTTTAAGACCTAATCCCATAAGAATATATTCAAGTTTAAACTGGTTTAGGAGGACAAGACATTCATGTGAACAATTACTAAAAATGATACTTGGGAACCGGTTTCCATTTCTCTAAGAACAGACACAGTGGTACTAAGCAGATTTTATATATTAGCATTTCATGGCTATGCCCCAAAAGCAGCCGTAGAGACTAAAGCAGGGCTCCTAAAAGGTTTCTATTTGCCAAGAGCAGCAATTTATAGTAATTATACCTTACATTTTATAGCTCTCGTGCTATTTCAATTACAAAAGAACCTGCAGGGTACATTTTCTTACCTGGCCTAGCACATGGTTTTGAAAGAGCCAGCTAGTATAAGCCACTTCCAAAGAATCTCCAACTTCTACAGCAGGGCCCTCTGCTACAATGAGGTCCTGTGACAGCACTGAATCCAGGGAAGAGGTGCTGTTGCACTTGGCAATGCAAACCTGTGAGACGAAATCGAAGCAGCATAAAACTTAGTTTAAGCTCAGCTAAGTACTCACTCCGTTATTGCTAATGCTCTTTTCCAAACAGTGGTGTCTACTAGCAAAACAGATTACATGTTTAGAAGTAAACCATTCCAAAGTCAGTAATCTTGCCAGGAATCCAAGTGCCTAAGAGTATAGCTTTGGAGTCAGACTGTCTGGGTATAGATCTCAGCACTGCCACTTATTAACTTGTGACTTCAGCCAAATAACTTAACTTCTGTGAACCTTATTTCACAGTGGTTTTTTTGTAAAATGAAGATGAAAGCTTTGCACACTTCCTAGTAGTTATGGAGACTGAGCTAACACAAATAGAGAACTTGGCACAGTGCCTGGCAAATAACAGTTAACTACACAATAAACATTAGCTACCATTACTATACTGATTTACTGCATCAGTGTTTGGGAACCTATGAAAGATGGAGGGGGTTAAAAATTTTAAAGAGCATTTCTAAGGATAATAAAATAAAGGTCCTTTACAAAACCATGTTGCGTTCCCAGAATTCGTATCTCTACCACCTACAGATTTACCTGTATTATCTAACTTATCCTAGCACTGATCCTAGGCAAAGAAGTCAGATACAGCTTAATGAATAATTATTCTACAGTCAATGTTTAAACATAGTATACATTAGAAACCTGCTACTCATTTTCTTAAAAAAAAGTTTCATTACTGTAATCAAATAAATGCTAACTAAAATAATGAGAAGTCATTTTTTACCACGCAAGTAAGATTAAAAAGAAAAAAAGATAATAATTCTAATTGTTGGCAAAGGTATAGTGAGAACTGATATGGATGCAAAAGCAGTCTCTGAAAAGCAGTATGCTAAAGTGTACACAGAACCTAAAAATTTACGACCTCTTTGACTCAATCTTTTGCTTCTAGAAATCCAGCCTAAGGAAGTAATCAGAGGGAAAAAAAAAAAGACACAGACTTGTGTACAAAAATGCTTACTACAGTATCATTTATTCCAGAGCCTGAAAATAATCTAACTGCCTAAAAGTAAGGGAATGATTAAATAAATTGAGGAACATTCAAAGAATACAAAAACAAATATATGTGTGTATGTGTACACTACACACACATACATATGTATGACTGAGACATTATGCAGTACATCCGAAACTGACACATTGTAACTGACTATAGATCAATCAAAAAAAGAAAAGGAACATTCATGTTATGAAGCTTTCAAAAATGTTTATAAATGATTTTTCACAAAGCAGGGAAAGATGTATTTTACATCATTAAATAACCAAGAACTCTTAAAGGATTATGACTACTTTTGTATATCATGCATATAAAAAAAAAATAACATGTTAATAATGGTAATTGAGTCATTAAGATTATACATGATTTTTTTAAAAATGCTTTTCTACATTTTCTATAATGACTATGTAATAACTTTTAAAAAACTATTTTAAAACACTATTTTTAAAAGATAGTTTATGCCTTAAGATAATTTATTAAGTAGAAAATGTTTTACAGACATAAGTTTACATTGATCTTTTTTTCTTTTTTAAAAAGAAATTGCATTTTTAAGCAATTTCAATAAGTACCCCTACTGTTTCCCTAAAATACAATAAGCTCAAGGGATGAATTTAGTGGGTTTTTTATGCTTGTCCCTAACAAAATGTAGCAAGTTATGGGTTTTCCATATACTTTCTTAAAATCAAGGGCAATCCAGACTAATGTTTGGCTTTTCACAGGAAGAATCAGATGGTATTACCTGTTTATTGAACTCCACAGCAGCCTTTTCTGACTCAAACATGATGGACCAGTTTTGTTTCTGGTCATCATAAAAGGTGCTATAGTTATTGGGCCGAACCTGGAGAAAGGAGAAATGTTGTGGTAACTCAACCACAGGCAGCACAGCAGACGAAGCTGACTGCCCAAACTCATGTAGAAGGGCCTTGACCCAGTGGACCCAAAGAGAGTTATCAGGGAACTTTCTTCTTCCCTCCTACCCTCCACCAATCACCCCTTAGTCCATATTCCCAGAAGGCAGCCAAGAGACCTTTTCAAGAGGCTCTGGATATCCACTCTGATGTCCAGAGAGGAAGCAGTGGATCTAATTCCTGCCAGGTATGTGAAGGCCAGTCTCTCCTGTATAGCAAACCCAGAGTAGCTAATGATTCCAATATGGGAAGTCTTACCATTAGCTCAAAGTTCAGATGAATCCTGGCAACAGTGACTGGCTGTTGTTGACTGATATAAAGAAGAATCCTATACTGTACTCATGCAAAAAAGGGTAGGAAAAAAAAAAGAGAGAACAGAAGTTAAAAGGCAGTACAAAATCAGCAGTAAGATGTCAGGGGTTGTGCTTCATACAGGCATGAAACTTAAAACTCAGTTCATCTTTTAAAGTTTAGAGTTTAACATCATCTTACTATCCATTTAAATCTCTTCTCATTTTGACCTTTCTCTTTAACTGTAATCAGCAATGTCTTTATTTTGTTCGTGTTTTTATTTATATGAGGGATGATTAAGAGAAATACAAATGGCAAATAGGTACATGAAAAGATGTTCAACATCACTGATCACTATGGAAATGCAAATTAAAATCACAATAAGGCACTACGTCATGCTTATTAGAATGGCTATTTTTTTTAAAAAAGGAAAAATAATGAAGTATTGGCCAGGTAGTGGAGAAATTAGAATCCTCATATATTGTTTGTGGGAATGTAAAATGGTATAGATACTGTGGAAACACTTCGGAAGTTCCAAAAAAAGCTAAACAGAATTATCATATGACACAGCAATTCCCCTCCTAGTGTATACCCCAAAGAACTGAAAACAGTGACTCAAACATATACTTATACATCAATGATCACTGTACTCTTATTCACAATAGCCAAAAGGTGGAAACAACCAAGTGTCCATCAAATGATAAATGGATATACATATAACATAATATTATTCAGCCATAAAAAAATGAAGTTCTGATACATGCTACAACATGCATGAATCTTGAAAACATTTTGCTAAGTGAAATAAGCCAGACACAAAAGGACAAACAGTGTATGATTCCACTTATACAAAGTATCTAGAATATACAAATTTACAGAGATAGAAAGTAGATTGTAAAGGTTACCAGGGAGCAAGGAAAGGGGCATGGGAAGTTACTGTTGAATGGTTACAGAAATTCTGTTCGGGGTGATGAAGAAGTGGAAATAGACAGTGGTGATGGTTGCGCAGTATTGTGAATTTAATTAATGCAACTGAATTGTATACTTAAAAATGGTTAAAATCGCAAATTTTATGTCTCATATATATTTACTACACACACACATGTGCACACACGTACACAAAAATCACAGTTAAACAAATTATTAAAATTCAACTCTAGAGAGGAGGGAAGGACTATAGGGTTCTCATATAATCTTGCACCAGAAAGGTCTTTCTTTATCCTATGTTAGGCAGTTAAGTGAGAGGTGATCACCTCAGTCCAATCCAATTACAGACTTAGCTGGTCACGATAGGATGACAGATTTATTAAGAATCAGCCCACTTCTGGGTTATCCCTATTCTCAAGCATTATGTTCCAAGGTTTTGACTGAGAGCCTGGAAGGTCTCTGACTTCATCAGTCCTGAAATTTCTGCGCATCAGAGATTCTGAGCAGAGATTCTTTGGCCTCCTCCTCAAGAAGTTCGAAATCTAGCAAATGTACTGAGAAGGTTGTTGGTCGTTGCTTTCCCACCCTACAGGAGGATTTTATCTCCTATGCACCGTAAGATGGCAGAAGTTTCCCTCTGCCTTTCTGGCATAGCCCCTGGACTTCCACACCATCCCAGAACTCCGGAAATCCCATGGGGAAAAACCAATCTTGTGTTTGGAGCTCTTCTAGCTTTGGCCAATGTCTCCTTCCCCAGAAGCCTCTCTGTTTGGGACATACCTGATGTTCAGTTTTCTCCTAAGATCAGCCAAGGTCTCAAGGGAAGGAAACACTCAGCTCACTGGCTCTTTCCTCTCAAAATTTTAGTCCATCTAGTCCTCATCATTTCCATGGTTCTCCAATGATTTTTAAAATACAATTTTTGCAATTTATCTGTTTTTTTAAATTTTAATAATTGTTACAGTGGGAATGTTGTCTGCCACAACATACTGTATCTTATCTGGAGGTGAAGTGTGGTGATTTTTAAAATCCAAATGACAACTCCTAATGAATTAATAGATCTAGATAATAATCATCAGTAGCTGCTAATATAACAAAATGAGAAATAATTAGACATTATTTGCCTCCTGATGGGAGAATGAAAGAGATTTAACGAACATAGTAACCAACTATAGTGCACAGACCTTATTAGATTAAAACAGAGAAAGAGAGAGGAAAAAACAATGAATTGGGGAAATCTGACTACTAACTGGTAGTGAATGAGATCAAAGATTTACTATGGGTTTTGTTCAGGTGTGATAATGGTATAATGGCTATGTTTTTAAAAATCTTTATCTTTCAGATACATACTAAAATATTTACAGTTAAAATTTTATGTTGGAGATTTACTCAAAATAATCTGAGATAGGGAAGAAGGAAAACAGGCTGGAGTTAAGATGAAACAAGATTAATAACTGTTAAGAGTCTAGTAATGGGTATCTGGGTATTCATTATCCTGGACCCATTATTTTCATATGTATTTCCAAATTTGTTTGTTTGCTTTTAATACAAATTAGTGTTGTCTATTATATTAGTTATCCTGAGCAGGTCATCTTATCTCTCAGTATGTCAGAGTCTCTAAGGTGCATGGACTCTATGTTTTCTGGACCTCTGAAATTCTATTATTTCTTACGCATATTTCAAAACTTTCTGGAGCAGAATTTGAAGCTAGATGCAAGCCACACAAGGAAATTCGCCTCTGGGCTTCTAACCACATCTTATTGATTCAAACCAGTATTCTGCTGTGTGATCAACCGCCCAATTTACCAAACTTTCAAAGGTTAAACACTGGTCACGCTGTCAGTAGTACACTAAGTGTTGTTCATTACCTAACAAAAGGATGTCCTTGGTAAATGGTTTACTCTAAAATGCTCCAGATTCTTAAACTAGATCCACGTCACAAAGGTCAAACTTAAAGATTTTGAGTGGCTGCTTAAATTTTAGTGCACAATAGTAAGCAAAATGTGACTACAAATGTTATTATATATCTAATATTAGAAATTCACATTCAGTGCAATCATTCTAATCCTCCAATATACAAGACATCAGGCAAGTTCGAATAAAAATCAGCTCATTAGTATGATCTGGAACACCTGAATATACATGAGACAAGGGGAAGCATTCTCACCTCTCTGGATGTGTGATTTCCTAGGACTGCGGCACCAAATTTGCCCTGCTTTACATATTGACCATTTGTGCTAGAGAAACAAAAAAACTAAGTGTTAATACTTCCTTCAACTAAGTAGAATCAGCTTGTCTGCCACACAGAAGTAGGGACTCTAATCACTCAGCCTCTAGAAGGGACAGAGGTGAGCAGCTTATAATTTAAAGCTCTTACCCAACTTCTTTACTCTTTAACTATCTACTATTTATGGTATCTCAGGGGAGTGGCTTTGAGTGCTTAAAAAGGCTGCTGCTGAGGGTATAAGCACTTCCCAGAGAGAGCATACAAGAGTAATACCAGTATTCAATGTTTTCTGTGCCAAATTCTCCAACTGAAATGTCAAGGAGCATTACTGATACCTTGTCTAGGGAGCAGCTGAGCAGCTATTTGGCAACCAATAGAGAGGCTTATTGTGAAAAGACAGGAGGTTACCCCACCCCGCCCCATCCTTCAGAAAGCTCTCCTTCTCAACTACTTACTAACGATACGCATGGACTGCTGTCGCAACCAATACTGTGGAAGTGCCTGCTGTGGTGGGTGCTGTTTTTGGTGTCACCTGATTTCCTGAAGATAAAGGAGAAAACAAAGTTGTCATTCATTTCTTGCTTGAAACTGATTTTTAACCATTAAAGCAGCTTCAAAATCTTCTTTTAACTTTGTAGTTAGTGATACAGCACTTTCATGACCACGGTCCTCATTTAATCCATAAAACAGCCCTATGACCTTGCCTGGGGATGAGGAAACTGAAGCCCTAAGCACCCAAGTGTCTTACACGGCGACAGTAGCAAGCCCAGGACTGGAAGCCAGGACTCCACGCCAAACAAGCTTTTGGGCCAGACAAGAAGCAAGGCCACATTCCATATACTATCTTTTCTCCTTCCAATATTTCTGACAGCTATAATAAACAAAAATAAAGTAGTTCTCCCTTCCCTTACTTCTGGGGGAGAAAATTTATGATATTCAGATTATGTCCATTACTTTACTTTCCCAGTGGCATCAAGAAACACTAACATTTTAAAATAGCATGCTTAGAGTAAATCACATATTTATACTCACCACATGAATCTGTTGATGGAATAGTGAGAACACGGCCATGGATACAGCAACTAAGAACTTATTTTCAAAAGTATCCTTGTTTGATTCTTTTTGTTGTTGTTAAAAACAAGACAACAGGCCCAAAATGGAGTCACTTAGGATAAGCCCCATCACATCAAAATGAGACTTAACATTATTACAGTTTTGGCCCTCCCAGAAGTGGAACCTTAAACCAGTCAATCAGGAAGGATCTGATCAGCACTAGTTAGGTAATCTGCCTGATAGACCTCTGTCATCTCCTAAAGGAAAGTAACCTTGTAATAACCAGCTCACTGCTGCTAGTGTTACACTAGACTCCCTTACGCCTGCAAAAGACCTTCATTTTGTATAGCTCTTCAGAGCTTCTATCTGCTAAAGTGGATGCCACTCAATTCAGGAGTCACTGAACACAGCCAATAAGATCTTTAAAACTTACTCGGTTGAATTTTTTTTAAACATTGACATATTTTCCCCTGATGATAGAGTACATGTACATTGTAGAAAACTTAGCAAATACAGAAACACATAAAGAAAATAAAAATGCCCTGTAATCTCACCATCCTAAAAATCAACATTAATAATTGATGCATTTATTCCTAGTCCTTTTCTAGACACACAAACTTTGCAGTTTTTTTATCTTTTTAAAAAAAAAATTAATATGATTTGACAATCTCCTTTTCTCAGTTATTATAAGCATTTCCTTATACTCTTCAAAACAGTCTCTCAAACAAAGACAAAATAGTCATAAAAATGCTTTTTGATGGTTATATAAAACACTATATTGACCCTACTAGAATGTACCCAATTTCCTATTGTTTGACATTTCTTTGGGCTGCTTCCTGTTTTTCTCTATGATAAATAATACTATGATGAACATCCTTAAAATGCACATTTTTATATGTATCTCTGATTACCTTCTCAGAATAAATTCCTAAAGGTGGAATTATGGGGTGAAGGAATGTAAGAAATTTCAAGGTTTTGTTACAACCTGCCCAAATGCCCTTGAGAAATGCCATTACCGGTTTATACTCCCACCAGCGCTGTGAGTATGCCGGTTTTGCATCCCTGCCAACAGGAGGAGGTTATCTTTCTAAATCTTTATCACTGGGTGGGGAGCGTTAGGGAAAGGGGGATGCCATCTTACTGTTCCTTTTATTTGCATTTACTGATTTACAGGGAAGCAGAAACTCAACATTTTCTATAGATTTGTACTGGCCATTAATTTTGTTTTGTTTTGATGAATTGCCCATTTGTTGCTTATTGTTGTTGCTTATCTTCATATTTTCCTTACTATTTTGCAAAAACCTACAACACAGTTTTTAATTCAATCAGTACTTTCCCGTTGTATGTAAAGCTACAATAAATCTTTTCTCCTGATACGCATTGTGTGACCAAAAATAAAGAAACTAAGGCCAGAGTTAGGTTATCAGGCCAAATGTGAAACACTAAGAAAATTACTGTCTCCCCAAGGTCAGCCTAGCAGCCTCCGTCAGGTTAGTTCAGTTCCTCCCTGTACACGCTTACCTCTCTACTTAACGCCCTGGAAGTGGATCCATATGTTGGAACTCCTTTGCTATCTCCAGTATTTGTCACTTTTCTTTGTACACTTCTAATCTCTTAAATTTTTAATTCTTATTTTAAAAATTTCCTCCTGTTAACCTTCTACTTCTCTTAAGGCATAATCTATTGTGTTTATTTTTGTGTTCCTTCCAGTTTAGTCTTCATTTCTGAAATAATTTTTCTGACATCTCTAATTCTTGCCTGAGTGCTATCACTTACTACTGAGATTTTTGTAATTCTCATTTCATGTCTTACGTCATTTTCCTAATGATAACAGGTGGTGGCAGTTTTGATCTATTCAGTAAGAAACATTCTCAGAGAATAGAGCTCTCACTGGAGGGATATTATTCTGTTTCTTGTTCTTAAAATAACTTTTCATGGAGTTTGACTCTCATAGTCTTCTACTCAACTTTCTTAATGTGAAATTTGCTTTTCTGAACTTTTAGACACAGGCATGGTTCAGGGTAGCTTTCCTAACTTCATAGAACTCACTTTTGTTGTCATATAGAGTTCTAAAACAGGGTGGCTTCCTCCTGAGACTTCCTGATTCTATTTCTAGCTCTATTTTTATCTGGATCTTCTCTCCTTCACTTCTAATATTCCTATCCTCGAATTTTAATTCTACTCCCTGCAGGTCCTCCCCAGGGTGGGGACCTCTCCTGGAAGGTCACCACGGTGACCTTCACAAGCCCATAAGAGCAACACTGCTCCAGTTCTTCTAGTCCCCATCACCAACCCCTTATACTTACCCACAACCAAAACAGGCAAGATGCTTTGCAATTTCAGCCTGGCCTGCCATACTTCCCATGAGCATCTCTTGGCTATTTTGGGGTTCTCCCATTCTCAGATTCAGATATTCTCCCATTGCTTCCTTGTTCTCTCCTACGCAAATGTTGGTATCATGCAAGCCTTCAGGCCATTAGTGGCTTGTCCATGCCTGCTTGTATTTTCATTTTTTTTTAATTTTTTTAAAATTTAAGTATAGTCAGTTTACAATGTTGTATCAATTTCTGGTGTACAGCAATAATTTGTTTCAGTCATACATATACATACATATATTTGTTTTCATATTCTTTTCTGTTATAGGTTACTACAAGATATTGAATATAGTTCCCTGTACTATACAGTATAAACTTGTTGTTTATCTATTTTATATATAGTAGCTAGTATCTGCAAATCTCAAACTCTTAATTTATCCTTTCCCACCCTCTTCCCCTCTAGCAACCATAAGTTTGTTTTCTATGTCTGTGAGTCTGTTTCCGTTTTGTAAATCAGTTCATTTGCATCTTTTTTTTTTTCAGATTCCACATATAAGTGATAGCATATGTTATTTTTCTTTCTCTTTCTGGCTTACTTCACTTAGAAAGATGATCTCCAAGAGAATACCACTTCAACTGGTTTTGTTTTAAATATTATCCATAGGTTTACCTTTTTTATCTAGCTGCTCTGTTTTTATAGAGATCTGAAGCTTTTCCAGAACTATGCTGCAGCCAAGTCCTGTCCTATAAAGACTTCTTATATAAATATCCCTTAAACAGAAAGGGTCCCCTGCATTGCTGGTTTATATTTTATTTGTAAATGCCTAATAAGACTGTACAGGGAATTTTTAAGTTGGAATACCTCTATAATTTCCCTCTAAAAGTATAATTAACTCGTATTTGTTGTTGTTTTCTGCTTTTAAAAAATCAAATTACTTCACTGGGTGGGAACTGAGGTTGTTTGTTTTTAACCACATTTGTTAACTCAATCACTTTAAACTGAGTCAGAAGCACACTGCTGATGAAGAGGTGTGCCAGAGGAAATGCAAAGGCATAGCCTACTAGAAATCTCATTAAATTATGGCTTGGGGAACAGAACCAGCAATCCACAGCAAAGCTGCCAAAAAAATGATAGGTAAGATTTAGAGCGCAGGTTAGCAAACATTGTCTGTAAAGGGCCAAATATTTTAGACTTTATGGGCCATATGGTATCTACTGCAACTATTCAACACTAAATATCCTAACAAAATCCGTAGTGCCAGCACTGTGCCTAGCATGTAAAAGACACTCAATACTTTCATCTTCATTCAAAATATTCAATCTGATGGCCTTACCAGCTGTTCTGCTCTGGGCTGTTTCTATCAGTCGCTCAACTCCTTTTCGGATTCTTACGCAAAGACAGCAAAATGTGGAGGAGGACAGAAAAACTTTCAAGCGAGTCAGATCAGGGCTCAAATTTCAACTCTGTCACTTACTGCTGTACGACCTTAACCAAGTCCCTAAACTTCTCTGAGCCTCTAAAATGGTGGTAGTCGAACGTATTTCACAGAATTGTAAGAATTAGATAAGACAATCTAGCTAAAGCACCTTAGACCAGACCCATACCAGGCATTTTAGAAATATTAGATCCCCTTTCTCTCCTTTCATTAAAAAATGTTCATTAATATTTCCTGTGTCCATCACAATGAAAGGTACAAGGAATACAGCACTGGCCATCACTGTCTAGTGGGGAAAAATTCACTGTCAGCATATATTTAACCCATTCAGGTGAAAGCCATGAAAAGTAGCTCTTCCTTCTTGCCAAAACATTGGGCAGTGCCTACTCAGAGGGCCCTGGACAGAGTTTTGGAGAGTGGTGCCCACACGGGGCAAAAGAGCTTGCCTGTCATCTTCCTCTATCAGTTTCCCAAAAAGAGCGTACTTGCTAGCTGTCAGAATTCAGGATCTCAGAACAGCATTCACCACTGGTGGTGAGCTTGGTCAGACTGGTTAGGATGGAAGATCTGGCATGTCACTTTTGTTTACTATTCCAACTAACCTGTTAGGGGACAATCCTAACCTCTCAACTTACCTGTTGGTGCTGTTCCTTGGCCTTTCTTAGGCTGCTTTGGGGCTGTGTACTGGAAGAATTCATTTCCATGGCCAGCAGCTGCTTGATCCAGTACAAAAAGAGAAGCCAATCTGGCACTGTTAGTAGAAAATTAAAATGACATTTAATTTGACATATCTCAAACCTGGAACCAGTTTTATAAAAATTGCTCACCCTCTAACTTTGAACAAATACCTTCTTGACTATAAATCCCACCATTCAATACTGGAAATGGCACCTAAGTGTCTTGGAAATAAAGACTGTATTTCTGATCTGAGCAGCATCAGCTGGCCTTGTCCGTCCACAGGACTTTGGTCAAGGCATCTCTTCTTTCTGGACCTCAGATGATTAGTCTAGAGGCTTTCTATGGTCTCTTCAAGCCGCAAATTCTTGCCTTTAGCAAGTCACAGTTTCCTTTTTTTTTTTAATAGTTTATTACATTGAAGTAAAATTGTAATACAAACTTACTCCATGAAACATATCCCATTTATGATATCATCTAACAAGCAGAACCATTCTTTTATCATCCCTTGTGATGAATCTTATGCCTCAACCATTCCACTGAAACTGCTCTTGCTCAAGTCAGAGAACCTCTTTATTGACAAACACAGTTTATCGGTCCTTGTCTTATTTAGTCTTTGTGCTGCCCTTTTACACTGTCAACTAATCTGTTCTTCTTTAAACAAACTCTTCTTTTGACTTCTGTGGGGATACCTGCAGGAGTGGGAGGAGGGACTGGCACAGATAAGACATCAATAAATGTTAGTAGGATCCCTCTCCTATTGTCTTTCCATCTCTGGCTCCTCATTTAACTCCTTGGACTCTTCTGCCTTTGCCCAATCTTTAAATATCCATGCCCCCAGGATTTCCTACTCTCTCTCCCTTGGCGCTCCAATTTCTTTACCTTGATATCAGTACTGTCCAAGCGCTGATGATGCTCAAATGTGTATGCCTAACCCACAATTTGCTCCTGAGTGCCAGACAACACAGACATTCCATAGGTAACACAAATGCAGTATGTCCAAACCAGAACTCCTATCTTCCAATGCCCACTGTCCCAGCAAAACCTGTTCTTGCTCTTGTGCTCGCTTTCCTGATGAACGATATTTTGTGTCAGAGTCCTCACGACCACCCCAGGCTCAGTGATTTGCTAGAAGGACCCACTGGACTCAGCATATAGTTGCACTCAGGACTAAGATCTATTATAAGGAAAAGATACACAGCAAAACCAGCAAAGGGAAAAGGCACACTGGGGCAAAGTCCAGAAGAAACCAGGAGCAAACTTCCAAGAGTCTTTCCCCAGTAGAGCGACTCAGGACATGTTAAATTCCTCCAGCAGTGAGTTTTAACAACATGTCAGTGTGGTCTGAAAGGAAAGCTCATTAGACACTCAGTGCCCAAGGTTTTTCATTGTGGGCTAGTCACACAGAAACCTTCTAGCACGTACCAAAATTCTAGACTCCCAGAAGGTTCAGTATAAACCATATCATCTGTACAAATAGTTTAGGCACAGTGAGCCATTCTTATCATTTGTGGAAAGCTTTATATCAGTGTGGGGAACTATTTACCAATTGAGTTTCTAGCTGCTAGCCAAGTGCCAACCTTGTGAGGGGGGTTTTCTGAGAATAACGGTCTCAGGTCTACTATGTTAATCCTTTTCTGCAAACATCCACAACCAAAACTGAAATCTGGGTATCAACCTTGACTTTTCTTTCCCTGAGTGTCCATGTTGGGAAAGGGTTGCTATAGTAACAACAATGAAAACAAAGCAAGTCTCCTGATTCTCCTGGTTACTACTTCTAGGTTAACCATGGACTTTAAGAGGCCTGAAAACGTCAAACACAGATTACCAATCGTCTACACAGCCACTGACACTCCCACTTCTATTAGGATTCACTATCTTATATGGAATCAAGAGAGTCACATATTGAAGTCAAAATACTTGAAAATTATCAATCAAGTATATTTACAGTAAATTACAGCAGTAAAAGAGGAACTGAAGAGTAGCTGCAGAGCTCACTGTCATATGTTCTACTTAGAGAAAGACAAAGGAGGAATAGTTGAATCAGGAAATGGCGGTAAAAACTGTCTATATTCTCAGTCTTAAACTTGATTTGGTTTTTCTGGTTATTACTGGGAACAAAAATAAATTATCTGTGTAACTTTGTTTACTAAGCCTCTTATCATTCTATTAGCTGTTCATGTTTGTGAGCACAGTCTCATGCTGAGAATTAGTGTCACAGCCCCTTGAGAATCCTGCACAGGAAATTAGAATAGCTGAGCCACCAAAAACTTATCTTAGGCCAGGAACCTGGAGAAGAGCACATGACTGTCATTACGCAGTCAGGAATTTCCAGTCAGCAATGTACTTCTTGTTGCATGAAAATTGGGACATTCATTTAGACTTCCCTCTAGAACTTGAATTAAAAGTATATCTTGTAGATTTCCAGAAGGCACAGCCGTATACGAAACAGGTTTGTATGAAAAAACATTAATTCAAATGACTGACTATACAGTCAACAGCAACAAGCTGGACTGTGTGGAAATTTTAGTAACTGTTTTGGGTGGAACAGGGGAAAAAAGGAATCAAAGCACTGCTTAACCCTGAAACAACTGAGCAATTGAAAGAACCCAAGGAGGAACTATGTGGATATAGGCCATCCAAAGTTGGGGTAGGGGTGGAACAGGGTGGCGAGAGTGAAGAGAGAACTGAGGGTGGCTAATATTGAGCTAGTCACAGTGTAAGTCAAAGATCCTATTTAAGATCAAAAGAGAGCCAGTGTCATTTTATGGTCACCCATGCATTGAACTCTCCACCAGGACTAGAAACAACTTGAGAGCAGACAGAGTAGCTTAATCATCTTTGTAACCTCTAAGCATTTAGTAGAACAAGGAGTGCATGTTAGTGTATTCATCATTCTTCAGTACATTCTGAAATTGGTTAAATAAATGCTCAAAGAGAGGCCCTGCAAGGATCAGAACTTGGCAGCTTTCAAGTTGGGAGTCAAGGTGTCTGCTGACACCACACAAGGGAAAAGGCTTCTGTTCTGCCTTTTCAGGCAAATTTTACTGGATTACTGGAAGAGACAAAGCCCCGCCTCTTTAAGACCTGGACCGCAGGCTGGAATATACAATGACTGGGGACAGGGGATAGCAACTGAAGTTTCTTACATTGGTTTTAAGCTTTGGAGAGCAATTTCACAGCTATTATTCACTCAACAGGCACCTTCTGAGCACCCGCTATGTCCCAGGTACTGTACTGAGTGCAAGACCAGAGATTAACAACATAAGCAGTCCCTGTCCTGCTAAGGCTTATAATCTAGTAGATTTGGTGTGCAAAGATAGGGACACCTAATCGTGGGAATAAGGAAGAGAAAGCAATTTATTCTGCCTGAAGTCGTGGGAGAAGGGAAAACACCAAATAGGTGACATCCGAGCTAGGCCTTGCCGGATGCTGAAGCTGACACACAAGGGTCAATTCTGAAGTTTGACTGCCTTGTCCTCGGAGGAGAAAGTCTCATTATCAGCCCCAGCTGACTCATAAAAAGTCTGAGAAAGGTATTTTCATCAACAATTACCCCCATTTCTCAGAAGAAGAAACTGTGACCCAGAAAGCAAAAGGCGAAGAGATGCAGGGAGAGATGTCAGGTGCAGAATTCAGGTGGAAAGACTCCGCAGTTTCGAGCTCTGCCAGGATTCTGAGACCTGCAGTGCACGCGAATGTGATAAGGGTCCGGACCCGGAAGCTGGGAAGAGATCTGATGAGAGAGCGACCCCTCCGACCGTATGCCAGGCTCTCTCAGCCACGCCCTCTGCCCCACGCTTCCGTCACTCACCCGCCACTAGGCGAGAGGAAGTCGGTGTCGTCTTCGTCGCCCGCACCGAACATCGCGCTGGCTAGCCCTCGCCCCGCTTCGGGAGGAGGTCGGAGACTTCCAGGGCCTCTCACCGCCGACGTCGTGAAATCCCGCGGCGTTGCTTTCCGGCAGACGTACTCTCGCAATGTTAGTCGGCCAGGAGGAGACTAGATTCTGGAGGCGGAGCAAAGGCAAATGAGAGGACCTGGCGTGGGAGGCACGCCGCGTGGCGAAAGGTTTAGCCAGCCCTCAGAAGCAGTAAGGTCTACGGGAGGTCCGAAGTTCTGCGCGGCGATTGGCCAGCGAGGCAGAGGAGTAGGGGCGGGAATCAGCGGCTTCGGTGGCGGTCTTCGTGGGCAGAAGTTGAGCGGGCTTCGCAGGAGTCGTGCGGGAGTGACGGGTTAAGGGTCTGAGAGGGAAGCGCCGCTGGCGGGACTCGATCTGCTAAGGTAAGATCTCTCTCTCTCTCCCCTCTCGCAACCCTGGCGAGAGCAGAGTCCTTTCCCCTCCGGGACGAGGACCTGCCACGCCACTCTTCTCAGCTCGGCGAGAGGAGAAACGGCCCGGGAGTGGAGGTCTGGAGACCTGAGCTTTCGGCCTGTCCCCTACGGTGACAAAGCTGGAGTGACCTTGGGCAAGGTGTTCCGTGTCTCAGTTTCCCTGTCTGTAAAACGGGCCTGATCCCCCTACCACTTCTACCCTGTGGCCGAACTCTATTTATTCAACGGGCTATTTGTCCAGTGTTTCCATGTGCCCGCTGGTCAAGAAGCTTTTCGACCTCAGAGGTCATTGAATTCAATCCCAGTCTCCCCCTAACCCCAGAATTTACAGATAGGGAGAGAGAACTCAGCACTTGGATGACTAGCCCGAGGTCACACAGAGTAAAGGGCAGACTGGGGCTGGAGTCCTGGTCTCTTGATTTGGGACTTAGCAAGCTGCCGGGTCAACAATAACCTTATGAGCTCTTAAGCACTGTGTGCCTTTACAGATATGTATACTGTGGCATACATCTTGAGAAAAGTCCCCTCCCTAGAGTCCACCTATCCAGGTGATGCGCAGGAGGGCTGGGATATTCTGGAGGTGGGTGACAGAAAGGAGGAGACTGTAGAAGCTGAAAATCCCCAGCTCCAAACTTGGCCTGGGTTTTGCTTAGTCTTCCGGCCAAAGACTTAAGTCAACATTAATTGTTTTCGACTTCTCTGCCTCTAGTTTCCACCCTCTCCACGTCGTATATAAGTACTTCCTTGGTTAACCTGGTGTAATTCCTGGGACAATCTCCAGGTAGGCCTGGCCTAGTGGAGGTATGCGAAAGCAGATAATATCCCATTGTAGCATCCGTTTCCATAGATCTCACGAGTTCTTTCACTCAGGGCCTCTCCTATCAATCAGATTAGTTCAACAGGTGTCCCTTACCTGGATGTTTTGATCTGTTAGCATGAAATCAAAGTGAAGTGATTGGTAGCTCCATCCCAGAGACTTCATACCTCTTGGCACTTACCTTGTTCTGCTGTAATAAATAATAAATATAGTCTGTGTGTCTACTAAATTGCAAGCTCCTCAAGGACGGCGACAGTTTTATTCTTCTTGGTGTCTCCTGTGTCACAGAGCACTGTGCCTTCTTGCCCATAATGAGTTCTCATTAATTCTTTGTTAGACTGAGTAATGCAATTCATCCTTGTCCCCTTATTCCTTAATTTACTCTCTTAGAATATTTATTCCTGTGTGACCCAGAGAGCCCAGCAATGGTTCTTGCCTTTTATATGTAGCTTCCAGAAAGATAAAAATACTGTACTGGGTGTGAACTGTCTGAGTTGCTTAGTCTCTTTGGTTAATTGAAAATGATTTTACTGTTGTTTAAAGCTCTAAGGGAGGGGAAAGAGAGGAATGGGATAGCTAGGTCTATATGTAGGTCTAATTTTTGTGAGTAAAGTATTCCTCTGTTGAACTGAAGGATAGGCCTGTTGTCTGCTTCCTGTGTTTATTTTACAGATTAAGATGGTTAAATCAGTGAAGGCTGACAGTGTTAAAGCAATGATGCAACTGGAATCTAAGCACTGGAACTGGGAACCCTTTGTAGTAGCTCTCCTTAGAGCTTGGCTACCTCTCAGGAAAAAAAAAAAAAAAAAAAAAAGCTGCGCAAGTAACATAGCTCTTTCTTCCTCCTTTCCCCAGTACTGGTGGTTGCCATTCTAGCATTGAAACATCTGAGCAGTGCTTTTCAAAATTTCTAGAGGGGATCACTGAGCACTTATCTTACGTTATTGAGTTGGGAGTGTTTTTATCCAGGGTGTTTAAGTTATCTTTCTAGATAGGCAGAAATGCTAAAATCTGGATCAGCCTTTTTGGTGATGGAGACACCACAGATATGTAGGCCCAGATTACCATTGTGGGAACACAGCTGCTGGTTCTGACTGGCAGTATGAGGAAGGGGAAGACAGTGGGGAGGCTTCCTCAGCCTTTCAGGCTTTGAACTACACCTAAAAAGCCACTGTCTTCCTAAATTAGATTATTGGACTAAGAATCAGGAAACCTGAATTCCCATCGCAGCCCTTCTAACTCACTCTGCACTTAGTCCAGACTCCCTAAACACTCCCAGACCTCTATTAAGTAGTACTGCTGGGGATACAGAGGTAAATGGTCACAACCCTGATCTCGGGTTTGAATAAAGCATTTTTATTTGTTTGTTTTGCATACATATACAGCTTTTGGGTGTATTTATAGAATGTACTGACCCCCCTGAAGATTAACCAGAAAGCAGCAATTTTAATAATTGCTTCAGAATTGTCAGCAGTATTGCTACAGGGGTGATAATTTTTATATACACATACACCTGTACGAATCTGTTCTGGTGAATGCTTTTTAAAATTAATAGTTTAAAATTATTACCAAGTTAGATCTTAGGTGTGGTGATAGGGATATGAATTGAATATAGATTTAGGGGGTCAGTATAGTGTTCTTTCTGTTCAGTCACTGAAAACAGAAGAATGTCAGAACACAATTCAAGAAATATCACCTAAAAACCTGCTATGTATAATGCACTGTGCTGGGTGTTGCGTGGAGTAGGGAAATAAGTAAGTAATTGTTTCTGTCCTCAAAGTGCTTATAGCTGAATTGTGAGGATAACTGAAGTATACAAATAGCCATAATGGAAGAGAGCAAAGTAAGGCCCATAAGTAGAAATTAATGATTGTACAATTTTGAAGGAAGAAGAGATCAGGTCTACATAGTTTGGAGGAAGGCGTGGGTTGGATAATGGGCTTTGAAGATGAATGAGATTCCAAGTGAAAGTGAGGAAGTAAGACTTTACAAGTTGAGGGGGTGGCTCTGGCAAAATCACAAAGGCAGGAAAGCACAAATTTCTTGTAAGACAGGAGTTGCCCTTTATCTGATGCAATTAGGTCCAGTAATCGGTGAACTGAAAAAAAAAAAAAGCTAACTGAAAAAAGTTAGTTAAAGCAGGGACTCATACAGATATGAGTTGCCCATAGACCTTAAACATTTTATTTTAACTTAAAACATAAACATCTTTTTGCCACTCTTTTAACGTAAGCCTTTTCTTGGAGTATGGGTCTCAGGGATCTGTAAACTATAGTGTGAGGGCCAAATCTTGTCCAAGCCTGCTGCCTGTTTCTGTAAATAAAGTTTTGTTGAAACACAGCCACACTCGTATCTTATCTATGGCTACTTTTGTATGCAAGGTAGGGTTGAGTATAGGTGTGTGTATCTGTGTGACTCATATTTATCTAAGCTTTCCTAACCTTTCAACTTGGTTTTCATAGAAACATCTTACAGAGAATCTATGTAGCATAGCAGTTAAATTCTTAAGCTCTGGAGCCAAATGATTTTGCCATTTATCAGTTGTATTGGCCTTGGGCACTTTGTTCAGTCTCCTTCTTTGTGAAATAGGCACAATAATAGTGTCTCGTTCCTAGGGTTCTTGTGAAGGTTATAGGAGTTAATTCATCACCTAGAACAATGCCTGACAAGTAGTAAGTGCTCAGTTAATAGTAGCTATGCTGCTGTTTTTCTCTTCTCATTTGTACTTCATTGCTCTACATAATACTGCATTAAATTATATATTTACAGTAATAAACATAATTGGCATAAGTTGGTTTGTGAACAAATACAACTGATACCCTGGACAAGCACACAATTTCACTGAGAGGGAGAGCAGAATTGTTGCTCCCATGACTTTGGAGAATAGCCTAGCTAATGTGTTATCAGTTAAATTTGTTAAGAGAGTCATGTGCAATAGTTTGCTAAGAGTTTAGGACAACAGTACACATAGGGCAATAGTGGATTAAAATTGTAAAGGAGACCAGGGCCATATTTGTCAAATACCTTGAAGGCCAACCTGACAAGTTAGTAATTAGCCCAGTAGGAAATGGAATCTTTTATTCTAAATGACATGAAAAAATAAAAGATGTAAAGAAAATACAAATGGTGGTGAGGGTATAGCTCAAGTGATAGAGAGCTTGCTTAGCATCCACGAGGTCCTGGGTTCAATCCCCAGTACATCCTCTAAAAATAAATAAACCTAATAACCTCCCCCCTGCCCTGCCAAAATAAAAATAATTGAATAATAAATAAATTTTTTTAAAAATCATAAATGCAAATGGTTTAGGAGTGTTCAAGGTAAAAAGTAAATTAGTTTCTCAGCCCCACTCCATGTGAGTAGCCACTGCATTTTTTTTATATTCATTCTTAGAGTGTGGAGTTGATGTGAGAATTGAGTGAGGTAAGGCATGATGAACACCACTTAGGGCACTGATATTCATCTGTTAGAAACCTCAGTCCAGTTTTTCTTTGGATTATGATCTCAATTTTGAATTGAGAAAAATTAATGTTTTAGACTGAATGTGAGTAAAATTAAATGACTTCTCTAAGGGTAACAATTTATACCATACCCTTAAGAATGTCTGATCCTTAAGTATGTTCCTCTGCTTCTTCCAGTTTTCTCAGCTCTTGATTCTTCTTTTCACCTTCCTCACCAGACATGCTGCAAAAGACAAAAAGATGACATAGTTATCACTGAAAAAGCAAGTGTTTACAACAACAAGATGACTTCAACTAGTGGAAGATGTCTGATAAGTCAGTGGCCAGGCAGTACCCAGATAACTGCCATTTAAAGTTGACAAGCCAGGAGCAATTGGGGAAAAGCAAGGGAGGAGAGAGGGCAGGCTGCTGCTGCTTATACTCCCACGTGCAGCTTTTAGCATAATAAAACCATCAAAAAAAATCAAGAGTTTTCTGTAGTTTGTGACTAAGTATAAGAAGTCAGCAAGAGTCTGATTCTTAATCCATTAAAATTAGCAGTTTATGCCAAAAGAAATCTTAGAGTAGGCACAGGGAAGGAAATGCTTTTGAAGTTCCATTGCTTTGCGTAATATCATTTCATGATTTAGGTAACATCCCCAAACAGAGGAAGGGCCCATCCTTAGGAATACAA